TGCGCCTACACCTCAAAAAGCTAAAGGAAAATATTCAAAGAAACGAGCGCTAGTCACAAGGTCGATGGGGTCGCTTATCAAGGTTAGAGGAGGCGCCTTGCTCCCGGGCGGAGCTTGCACCGGTGGCTCGCTCTTGAGACGCAAACATTTCGATGAAAACTCAGCTGAAGAAAAGGATGGTGGGGGCGGTTTTGGGCGATCGCTAGAGAGAAGTTAGAGAGAGGAAGTTTTTTTAGAGAGAATGAGAGGTAAAGACTTGGAAGGGAAATATATATAAGAGAAGGGGGGTATGCATCTCAAGTAGGGATGGCAACAAACCCGAACCTACGGGTACCCTACCCGACCCAATCTGATCAACGCGGGTAAAACATACATTGATGGATTTCAGGTTTAAACTCGTACACTATTCATCGGGTTGGGTTTGGGTTTAGGGATACCTGTCCACACTTATTCCGTAACCCTACTCTCCCCAAACCCTACCCTAATTCTAATTTCCCACAATCTAACTCTCAGTACACTTATTTCGTGTGCTTTTATTTAGTGTAATTGTGATATGTTTGAATTTTCTAAAATAGTGTTTTATGTATTGATAATTTGTATGAGAAATCGATGTTTGAATTTTATTTTGATAGGAACTTGTTATTGTAAATTTTTTACCACAAAAACCCATGGGTACCCATGAACCCGCGGATACCCAACGGGTTCGGTTGGGTTTGAGTTTTCCAAATCCAGTGGATTTACCGGGTTTTTTATGGAGTGAATTATGAATTAATGATGAATATTGTACTGTATTGATTTTATTTCTGATAATTAATATTTAAATTGTTTTGAAGTGTTTGTATGACTATATTTTATTATGAAAAAGGATGTCATACATATTTATAAATAACAAAATAAAAATCCCACATGTGAATTGTTTTTATTGGTTAGTGATTAGCCGCTAACCGAACCGATAAGACTTATCGATTTCAGTTTCGATAAGTATCTTTTGTTTGGTGGTTAACCGACATCGAACCTATTAGCAATTTTGCCAAGTGAGTTTTCGAGGTTGAGGCCACTTTTGTGTTTTGTACTTAACCTCTTTCTTTTATTCAATAAAATTTGTCCAAAATTTTAGATTGATAATTAGAATTTAGGACACTCTGGTACCTTAAAAAAAAGAATTTAGGACACTCGCGGAGAAATGGCGGAAAAGAGCGTATAAAAAATAATGAAAAGAAAAGCATTTTGATATTTGTCCAACTCCCACACCAACAATTTCCACTCCTCAATAGCCCTATCCAAACATGAAATTTGGGCCAATTTCCGCTTGACAATTCCAAAATTTTCTATAAATAGGAATTGAGGCTAATTCTCGAATTTTTAGATTTTCACAACGAAACGACCCTTAGTTCACTCTAGGTCATAGTTCTTTTTTATTTTGAAATATAAATGACATGTAATACCACTTTTTGTCTCTTTTGAAAACCAAATAGTTCAATATATATTGTTCGAGAAAAGAAAACAACCACGACAAAAAATAAATCAAGAGGTCATTTAGTTGTGGCAATTCAGTGTGGTTATTGGGCTCAAATAATTCAAAATGTAGTAATCGGGCTCAATTCACATGTTTGGGTAGACAAAAATATGTATGGAAATTTGACCATAGAAATTGGAATAAATTATATGTGGAATAATTTACTTAAGCGTGAAGGATAGTTTGTTATTTTATCAATAAAATACTTTTGGCATTCATTTGAAGATTTTAGCTCGATTGAGCGGATTTTCTAAAACAATACTCAATTCAACATAATCCATCATTTATAAATAAAAATGAATTTCTTTATGAGGAATTTTATAATGCTATATAGTATTGGTGATATAGGTTTTTCACTTTATGGTACAACTTGAAGTTGTACCTTTAACGTTATGGTGCAACTTCAGATTGTACCTATACTCTTTTGTCAAATTGTTTTATGGTACAACTTAAACTTGTACTTTCATTTGATGGTACAAGTATAAGTTATAAAGTTGTACCATAACATAAGAGCACAAATTCTTTTATGGTACAACCTGAACTTATACATTTAACGTTATGGTACAACTTTAAGTTGTACATTAAAGTACCGATACTTTATCGCATAGTAGAAGTGCTCTTTCTTTATATGCCAAACACACAATAAAATATTTATTTAAAAATAATTTTTTTGAAACTTATGAAATTCATTTATACCAACAACATGTAAAAGAACATTTTCATTTTTCTCCTCTGGCAAATGCAAAGTAACCATTTTTCTAGATACCGGGTCAGGCCTGGTCTTGCCTATGTGGGTGTTCAGTTTGCAGGTGACATGGTCCATTAGCAGTTCGGTGTCTACAATAGGCTTCTTGGTTGCGTGAAGGCCATTGGGCTCGGCGGGTATGGTGCTCATTTGATGACTTGCATCGTGCATATCGTGAAGATTATATTCTTTGCCGTTTTAGTGTTTTTGACACTTTTTTCTTAGGAACTAATAGAAATGTTCATCGCGTGGCTAAAAAGAATCTTTAATCGACAAATTGATTAGTATTGAGTGCCGCGTTTTACTTTTCAATTAGTTGTAATCAACTATCTATTACTACGTGACAAAAAAGAAAAAAAAAGTAACCAGATAATTTCAGTGGACTAATTCGCTGGAACCCAGATAAGGAAATATGGGAGGCCCAGCAAAAGAGATACGAAGCCCAGACAATAGTAGTTTATCAGGGACCCTTTTATTGTTTAGGGCCAGAGACCAACCTCTTCCCCGAGATCCAGCCGTGTTGATACTCGGATATTGTAAATATTTTCGTATGGCCTAAACTTTGATCAAAATAAATATTCAAGTCAATCTTTTCGATCTATAACATCCTGGCCCGAACTATACACCCAAATAAACAATTTGGTCAACGCGCCACGTCACTGCCAAGTCAGAAGATCTGATAAATATTTAATTTTTTTGTTTTTTTATTTTTGGTTTAACTAAGGTATTAGATAAATTTTTTTTATTTATAATAATTTAAAATTAGGGAATGTGTGGAAATTGTGAATTATTTTATGCTGACTTGGTAGTGACATGGCGCGTTGACTAACGATCAACGCTTTTGACCGTCCAAGTTAACGGTTAAAAGTCGGATCTGGCCGAATTGTTTATTTTAGTGTATAGTTCGGGCCAGGATATTATAGATCGAAAAGATTGGCTAGGATGTTTATTTTGGTCAAAGTTCAGACCATACGAAAATATTAACCCTTTGTAATAATAACATCAAATTCACAAAATTTTGAACACCTCACCATCGAAACTAACCAACCAAATTAAAAAAAAAAAAAAAAACATAACCAACCAAACTCGCCCAACCCACTCGAGCCAAACTGATATTATGTACTTGTTTTTACTATTTGTATTTTGTACCACCATTTCATAATGTAAGTGTAACTATTTTATTACAAAATGAATGTTTGTGCCTATTTGGTTTCAAAATGAACTATTTTTTTACTATATGATTACAAAATGGATGGTTTTGTGACCATCGTGTTACAAAATTTAAAAGAATGAAAATGTATCAACTCATGGATTGATCCAAAGGGGGTTTGGATGTAATTTGAACAAGATCCGACATACATGTCCATTTTTTTAAAAGTTTTAACACGATGGTTTCAAAATTATAAACTTTGCAATTTGAAAGTCAAAGAAAATTCATTTGAAATCAAATGGGCTCAAACCTTTTAATTTTGTAAAAAAATAACTACACTTATTTTGATAATGTAATGAATTGGCCATAAAATAGTAAAAACAAGTAAGCAATATCAATTTGGCTTGGGTGGGTCGGATAGTTCGATTGATTAGTTTGGATAGTGAGTTGAAATTTTCATTATTTTTGGCTGCGTAGACTACTGAGTTGACGAGAATTTGGATGGAGATGAAAGAACATTACCATTTTTATGCGTCCAAACCTTGTTATCGTATTAGTAGTCAAAATTTAATCTTCACGATCGTTTATGCTAATTACCCAAATTCATCTGATAGGTACCGCTTTCAAAAGACAAGCAGACAATCTACTCAAAGATTATTTTCTCAATCTACTCACTCTTATATTTTTTTTCAAAAATTTTAAATTATCCAAAGCCTTTTTTAAGCGTGGAGGGTAGCTTCACTTTCCACGCTAACCAATTGATTAGTCCCTAAAATGCTAAGCATAGCTTGTAAAAGCAATTAACCCATGGTAGTCAAACTAAAAATCGTACCAATATGACTCATAAAACTAAATACTTGTATCATTAACATGCTCAAATGATGGCATTATCAAATCCCCAATTTCTTGGAGTACAAATACACACACACTCCGTGGCCACATGTGCACAACAGCAGGATTGTCCACATAGCTAGCTGGCTACATTATATCAAAAACTTATTTAATTATTTATGTATTCCTATATATATATATATATGCACTGAATATATACCAAGTACATAGTACCTAGTGGCTGGTGACTGTGACAGCCAGCTAGTGCATGGTATAACAAACACAGCTCTACTACCCATTTGTAATTAATTAATCACTCACCCAACACTAATCATACGAAGCTATATCAGCAACATATGATCAGTATATAACAAACAAAAAATCCAATTAATTAAAGGTTCCTTCTAAACCACATGTAGTCTAAAGTACGTTCGTTTCCAAAAAAGTATGGGTCTAAAGTTTGGAGCGGATTTCTCCGTACCCAATGGTATGAACAAAATGGCCAGCGCCGGGAAATATGCCATTGAATCCCACCATTGATTTGGTTGTCCGGTTGATGGAAGACCAAACAGTAGTAGTGCGGACACTTTGATTTCAAATTCTGATTTCTGAATTCTTCACCAAGTAACAAACTGCCCATCTCTTGGTCCTCACACCTGATCCGCGCTCTAAGTGTACGTTCCACAATATTAACGGTAAGTACGATGAATGTATAAGAGACTGAAATAATTCAAACCTCGAAAAAAATTCCACTGATTTTGAATTCTCTAGGTTTATCCATGTCGCGAGGTAAATGTTTAAATGGAATACTTACCAAGTGTAATATGATTTATATAATAATAGATAGTTATTCGGTAAACCAAATCGTTAGTTAGATTAAGTCAGGCTGACAAATAAGCTCACCATGTCATCAGAACATACGGTAGGAGTCAAACACCAGCTCCTCGGACCCTTCTCGATTCTGGCCCTCGATATATAGCAAACTCACAAATTGACCTCATATCCCATAGTTTAGGCGTAGCATTTCGTCACACGCTGTTCCCATAGGTTCAATTTTGAAGTATATACGATTGCGTTACGGCTACCATTATGATTATGAACACACGATAAGACACAAAATGTTTAATAATTTACCCATTAATTAACAGTCAAGAAGAAGAAGGGCTAGGCAAGCAGCCAGTGGCGGCAAGCCCTTGCCTCTCAAACTTCAAGCTCAAGGCTTGCGCCTTGCTAGTATACAACTGCTTCACATTCCCTCTCTGCTCACTCAACAACTTCACCAGACTCCTCTTCGCATTCGACCTGAACGGACAGTTGGACGCCAAAAACCCGTCCACAAGGTGCAGGTACGCCTCCAGGTCGTGGCAGCACGCCACGTCAGCGTTCGGCTTCAGGTACGGCGACATCCGCGTATCCACACGTAGCTCGGTCCCCACGTGGCTGTACGCCAACGGGTGGCTGTCATCCTCCAGCTCATCCACCATCGGCAGCCCGGGCACTTTGGTAATTACGTCCTGGTTGTTCACGATCCGCAGCACTTTGACGTTTTTGCCCTTCAGCCGGTTCCCGAAGCCGCGGTTCCCGACGCGGGGGCTCCCGAAGGAGAAAACCGCCACCGACGGCACGTCGGGGGAGCAGGCGCTGAGCTCGTCGGCGACGAGAAGGGAGAGGGCGGCTCCGAGGCTGTGGCCGGTGACTGTTATGCTTAGTGTCTCGCCTTTGTATTGCTCCATCAGGCGTTTGATTTCTTGGACCACGGATTGGGCCAGGCTGGCGACGTGGGCTCCTTCGGTTTTGTACAGGCTTTGGAACCCGCACTCGACCTTCGCCTGGTTTTGGGCTTGGGGAGAGTTCTCGTCGTCGTCGTCGTCCATTGGGACCAGTCCGGCCCGCATGTTTTCGGCCCATTCGAGGCATGTCGAAGTGCCGCGCAAGGCGATGACTATGTCCCTGCGGCCCATCCGCTGGATCTCCCTGCGGTCGTCGCAGACCGCCACGTACCCGACCCAGCTGGTCCGCTGGGTCATCCACCCGAGATCCGGCGCCACGTCGTCGACCCACTTCGGCAGCCCGACGGATGACGTGGCGTAGAGCGATTTCGTGACCCTGTACGACCTATCGGGAAGCGACACGCGTACGGGGAGCGGCGCCTCGTCGGCCTCCGTGGCCGGATCTGAGTTGAAGGCGTGGTACGCCGCCTGGACAAACTCGCCGTACCGGACCACCTCCCGCCGGAGATTCTCATCGAGGGGGTCGAGCATCCCCTTCCAGTCGTCGCCGCCGTGGTACTCCCTCCACCGGGAAGCCAGGCTGTTGCGGGGGGAGTATTCGGCCGTCTTCGAGAGTAGCCGCTGCAGCCGGTTCAAGTGCCTGGGGGACATCTCCTCCGCCGCCTTCAATTCGGGCCAGATCCGGGCCAGATTCAGCCCCTCCAGCAAGTTCCTCCCCCGATTCGCCCAACCCGCCGCCGAAGCGCCGCCGTCAGGTCTCGGAACTTTGGGAATTGAATCGAGGCGGTTGGATCTCGGAGTCGGTGGCTCCTGTTTTTGGAGAAGCTTGTCGAGGTTGGAGAGGTGCCTCTTGGTGCAATCGGCGGCGGAAGAGGAAGAAGAAATTACAGAAGGATTGAGGGGAGATTGGTTGTACTTGAAGCTGCCGGCGCGCCTCGCCTGAAAAAGGTGGACCTGGTGCGCCGGGAGGGAGGTTGCGATTCCGATCTGCATCTTCTGATTAGGAAGGAAAGAGTCGAGTTAAATTAAGCTGTTCAGGTTTGTTAGAAGCTTTGGGAGAAAGCTTGTTGTTGTGGCGGGACTATACGGGGCGGAAGTATATATAGTCTCGCCATTTTACCGTCGGGGTGAAATTGGTTGGTGAGGGGTGAAACAGTGAATGGTTTTTAACTGTGGGGGAGAGCTCAGAGCCGTGTGAGGCGTGTCCGGAAGTCAACTCATTGTCGTTGGCGTCAGCATCGTTAACAAACGGAGGAAAGTGAAAAATTGAGGATAATAATTGTTTCTTTTTAAAAAACTTAAATACGGAGGTCTTTCTTTCAATAAAAGGCTGCGACTGCAGATGGGAGGACAAGTGTAGGCGGGAAACTGGGAACGCGGGCACGGGCAACGCTGTTTCTCCTTTTCTTTTCTTTTCCCCGGTTGCAATTGAGGACCCTCCAATTTTGTTTTGGTGGGAAGAAAAAACCTTTTTCTTAATCACACTATCCGCCAATTTAATTCATTGACTATATATTTTTAGAGTTTAATTGTAGATATTTAAAAGGTTATAATGTTTCAATTCAAACCTAAATAAATTTATCCAAATAAGAACTAGTTCAAATCTAATCCATACAGTGGCGGATTCAGGAATTCTACGTAGGAGTGTCCTCTATAAAAAATTAAATTAAATTAAATCTTATAATTAAACTAAATAATTATTAAATTTGAAAATATCTAACTAATAAAAGTTTCATTAAAATTTCATATGTGTTTCGTCAAATGATAAAATGCATTCGGTGTTTATACTACTCAACAAATATCTCTCAACATATCCTACTCGACAATGATATCCCGTAATTGAGTTTAATCGTTAGGTTTTGAAAATAATGTGGGATAAGAATAACATTTTACTATTATATTTGGATCTAAAACACAATAACAAATGAGTTGTAGCGTATTTGAAAATATATTAACTAATAATGGCAGTGTCCCAAGTTTAAATCACAAAAACTACTACTTATATATTATTTGTACAAATACGCAAACTACTATGGTAGATTGGATAATCATTTTTCCAAATTTTAAAGGTGTCCCATTACCACTTAAACATTTTTTTTCTCATACGAAAATTATTATCGTAGGTTGAATAATCGTGTTTCCAAATTTTAGGATGTCCCGGGACACCCCTAACCATGCATGTATCCGCTACTGAATCCATACCAAAATTTATTAAAAGTACATATGAGTTAATTTAGATCATATCCAATACATATATGAGTCATAACAATTAGGTCAAATTATTCAATAAGCCAATCTATTGCCTTGTCCACATTACGGTTTTTTCGAGACAGGAACATTATGAGTAGAATATCCAAAACTTTTACCTTCAGGAGCCCTTGTTGATGACTGAATTTCTCCTAATATAATTCAAACACTTTTCAATTTTCATTTTCATTTGTCCGATAAACATTATGCGACGAGGACATAGTTAATGTCGGAGCATGTTTATTGGAAATGAACCTTAAAACAGTTGAAACTTGAAACGAAAGATAAGTGAAAGCAAACTTTGTAGTTCATTTAGTTTAACTTAAATTACATAATGAATATGGTACATAAATTTAATCTATATCACTATATGGTTTAATTTGTTTTCCTTGTAAATATGGTAAATACAAAATTGACTATTTTGCATTTTTTTTCTTTCAAATAGTATCAATTCAAATAACTCGTTCTCATCCGTAGAGTGAACAATTCACTGTTATTCATTTTAGTCGTAAATTTAATATGAATAAGATTTGGATTTCAAGGCCTCCTATATGTTTATAAAGGGTTGGGAAAATAGACCAGACCGTTAGAAAAATCGTGGTCCAAACAGTACCACACAGTCTGGTCCGGACCGTAGACCGTTAAGTATGGTCGGTCTGGTCCATGGTCTGTATTATTTTATGTTTTGATCTCTTGGTCTGGTCTGGTCTGGTCTGGTCTGGTCTAGACCGCGATTTACCGGACCAAACCGTGGACCCAACTGACTTGTCAATACGTGTAAACAGCCCATTCGACCACTCTCCCAACTCCCAAAACGACACCCAAGTCTCAACCTTAGTTTTGTGAATCTCGTCCCTCCTTCATTCACAACCACATTTAACGAGAGAGTAGAGATAATCATGTCTCCATATGATATTATGTTAATGTTTATGACGTTATGGTGCAAGTTGGGATGCTTTTACTTTGTATCTTTGTTATGTACTAAGATTTAGAGTATCAAAATTATTCGTGCATGTTAGGATTAATGTTTTAAGGCAAATAACAATACTTTTTCTTTGTTATTGGTTCAATTTTTTGTGTGGTTGACTAAGCAAATTATTCATTTTTCGTTGAGTGTGGACTATCTGGACCAGACCAGACCGCATAGGCGTGGTCTGGACCGGACCGTATAGTATGTGGTCTGGTCTGTGGTCTATACTTTAGCCTCTCTGTCTGCACCATAGACCGTATATATGATATGATCTGAACCAGACCGCACCGTTTCCCAACCCTATTTTATTAGACCAACTTCAGTTGGATACCTGTACTATTTCACACCTGAAATAATACAGGTTTTGTTGATAAAAACAAATATATGAATATGGATATATCAAACCTTACATAACCGATCCATAGATATTCTCGATATTTGCATATAACACAAATTGTCCGTAGTGATGGCAAATTAATTTGATGAGTAAGGTCAAACTACTCGATCTTTGAGTAAGCTCCCACCGTCCACCACCGTTACCGGTGAACTATTATTTCCTCATTTGTGTACTACGGCGCACGGTGGGTCATGACTCATGGTAGTCTAGTATTTATGGAATTTAGTTAGCCTAATACGTACAAAATACGCGTATGTATGCCATAGACATACTTTTTGCGTATAAGCACAGTATTTGTTTATTCATGTCGTTACATGAATATTTAGGACAATCAGAATAAACTCGATATTTCGGATAATGTGTCATCTCAATTTATTTCCTTCTGCTGTAAATTTTTTTTTCTCCTTCTATATACGGTTTTGTTTATACATATTTGTAGCTATATTTTTGTAGTGATGTTGGTGAAATCATATTTTATTTTATTGTCAATTAATTCAGGTTAATCAATATCGTTTTAATTAACTATCAGGAGTTCAAACTTATATATTGTTTTAAACTAGCATGTGTTCGGCCGGTTGGCCAGGATATTTGAGTTTATAATTTAATAAACTATCACAACTTAGAAATTTTAATAATTTTTCAATTAAATATTTTATTCATAAAATTATCCAAAGTTTGATCACATTATGAGCAAGTTTATCACGATATTCATATTGTCATTGAAATTCTTTAGTATGTGATTAATTGCATGATATTCTTATCACTTTTGTGGAAAAAAATGAAAAAAAAATACACAGCTTCTCATAATCTGTACTATTTGATCTCCTTGAATCCAAAAATAATGAGTATGTTTTGTACGCATACATGAATATAGGTTACATAGCTAAAATTTGTGTTCTTTTCTTTCATTTGTTTAAAAAATTTCTTCCTCGTTGCATAATGTGACATTAGTTTAGTCTAAACTAATTCATAAACACAAAAATATGAACATAAAAACACCATACCCTTTTTTTTTTTTTTGTACTTTTATGTGCTTTCATTTTGTAACTTTTAGAATTATCCATTAATCATTAAATCAACAAAAAAAAAATTATACTGTTTTACTCATTCAAAAAATAGTCGATTACTAAATTATTTACCATCAATGCTTAAATCAAAAGGATGAATTGTACCCATATCCTGATTCCATAAATGGCTAAATAGATAAACTCTTAATTAATCATTTTTGTGAATTAATTTAGAATTATTGAAAATTATAAACACTATATCTTAACTGAGAATATGAACCACTCCAAAAATAAGGTGGTCTTAACTAAAAATATAGCTAAAATAAAAATGAGATAAACAAAAACTAAGATATTAAAAAAATAAAAGTGATTATCAACACCACCCTCTTCTCTTTTAATATTTTACAAGGAATATTTATAGTTTGTAAACCATAACCGAAATATGTACGTGGTAACATGTTGAAGTTTCTATCACAACATCCTTTTAATTAAACTAGCTTTTTACCCGGCCCGTTGGCCGGAAAATTTCATTTTATCGTTGACATTAATTCAATTTATCTATATGTTCAAACTATTTTGGACCTTCTAAATTTATTATATTTTGTATTGATAAGTGAGTATGTGGTGTGTCTATATATTGAAAATTCTCAATACTTGGCACATTCACTTATAATGTTTGAATTCTCTAATCATAAACCATGTCACAAAGGTATACCACGTCCCATGTACAATTTTTTCTATCTTATATGAATCCACGTTGTTCAGATGAGGACATCTTAGTTAGAGTTTCTTTGTACATATACTTCATTATTGGATAAATTTCTTCATCCCAATTAAAAGTTGATACTTTGGATGTTCATGAAGTTTACTGTAAGATCTTATTTGTATTTAGTTTCTTATACAATATGTATCAATTGCTAATTTCTGAAATTTAATTTGGACTAACTGAGACTCATTATCGTTATTTATATATTATTTTAGAATCTCAATCCAAGATACCCACATACGGATTTTGATCTTAATATGGTGCGTTAGTGTATAATTTTACAACTTGTAGAACCTTCGTTTTCTAAACTTCATTTATGTTTAGTATTTGTTTAGAAATAAAAATTTCATTACTTATACTAATATATGCATTTTTTTGTATGGCCACATTTATTGTCAATATATAGAATATATATTAAAAAGAGTTTAATTATTTTTAAGTGTAATTAATACTTGTTTTTCACCGGGATTTGTAAAATGTTAAGAAAATAAGGGGAAATATGAACAATTGTAAAAGAAAATAAGGGATGGAAGTACACATTATAAGTGAGAGAAAATTTATTCTTACTTATCATCTTCATTTATCCAATGAGGTGATTCCTCCATTGAATTTTTATCAAATTATTTTATTCCGTAAATATATTATTAGTTATGCATGTGTTTTATTGCAAAAAAAAAATGCATGTGT